TCAAAACCCAACTCTTATGCCATTAGAAAGAGGATCATGAAAAACCTATAAAAAAATGGTTCAAGAAATTTTAGTTCGCTCATAAAGCTAAAGTCCGCTTGCTCTAGCAAAAAATGCCCACTGTGAGGTGCTAGCTTCTGAAATTCATATAGGGATAGTAAGTTGGAAAAGTCTTACTTTATAGATATAGGAGACTTTTAGTCTTTATCAGGAAACCATCAAGAATAAGTATACAGATAGAACATAGACGTAAACATCAAGTTTTTGCTTGAGAGAAGTAACAAGAAACTTTCACTAGAGATTCTTTAATTCTTGGCTGGCCAGCATGCTTCTCCAAAAGAACAATTTGTATTTCTAGCGCTTAGACTCTGTGCTTTAAATGCAGCTAAAAAATTGTACTTAATATAAGATTTACTTTTTTCTGAAATAGGCACAATCTAGGAACGAACAAATTAGATTTTAATAGTAAAAAGAAATAAAGCATTTAAAAAAATGTGCTGAATATGATATTCATTTATTTATCACTTTTTATGAAATAGGCACAATCTGGGAACGAACAAATTAGATTTTAATTGAAATGCAGAATAAGAAATGAAACATTAAAAAAATAGACGCCACATCTGCAGGGTACGGTCCTTTTACCATTAATTATCGATAATTTTTACAGTTTGATTCTCCTTTCTTTCAACTACTGTCGGAGAACCACTCTAGTCTGTATCTACTTACTAGTTTTATCTTAGTTTATTTAGACATCTCGATGGCTCATTTTAAAATATGAAATCTGTGACAACAAAACCTTTGAAATAGGTTATAGAGAAAACTCTAATTCTTTTAGGATGTAAAAAACCGGACTGCAGAAAAGGAAGGACAAAGATAAGTAAATCAATTGCATTGACATTCACGTTCTGTCTAAAACGTTGCTCTTAAGCTAATTAATGAATATTATCTACTTACTATCAAACGACAGATGAAGGTCGCAGAAAATCGATAATTGATCCATCGATGATAGTTGATGGAACAAAACTATTGGCTATGCTTTTAATGAAAGAAAAAAATCCTTCCTATTAAACTGTGAAGAGTAAAAGCATTTTTTATCTAAAGATACTCAAGCATGAAAAAGAAAAAAATTGTTAAACGTAGAGAAAACTATACACTGTAAAAAATAAAGTGGGTCACCAGTGAGTAAAATCGTCTCGGTAGGTAAAACGGATCCATTTAGATAGGTTACGGCTCACTAGGTCATCTCTGTAACTCAGAGACACACTACCACTGGGTCACTGGGTCACTGACCTACTGACGTCACAGTTTCCTCAGTTCCCTCAGTGGGTAAAACGGACCCATTTAGATGGGTCGCTCAGTGGGTCACTGACCTACTTTGTTTTTTACAGTGTAGAAGGAGACGTATTTTTATATAAATGATATTAATAACGGATTAAAAAAATGCGCCTGCTGCTTTTCTGCACTTGAAGAATATTTTTTTGTATTATTAAATGAAGAAACATTTATAAGTTTCTTGTTGTACTTGCAAACAAGTCTTTTCTTGTCATAGTATTTGAAAGGAAGAATTCTAATTATGAATAAATTGTTGCTATTATTAATTTGTTGGTGTTATGTGTTGATGGTGTCACATGCTAAAAGTAGTCGTTGTCCGCGAAATTTCTTGATTCATCATGCGCCACAATTCGATGTTAAATTTGGCGATGGGAAAAGTAACCGTATTAGACATTCTGCTGAATGGCAAGGATCAGAACATAAAAGAATTGATGGTATAATACCTCATGCATCCGTACAGTATGATGTTGAACATTATGATAAAATTCTCAACATAGATCTTGATGAAACAATAACATCAGTTGAGTGTGGTAGTGAAACATCTCAAAGTTTATTATGTCAATTTTCAAATAAACAAGATTTAGACAAATTTGAAAGATCTTTAATCATAGATTCAACAAAATTAGTTGGCCACTGCAATAATAAACAAATGTTCTATCGTTTAGTAAAAGATTATGAAACTGATTTAACAAGAAAAACGCTTAAAATATATACAAGGAGTTTATCATTAACAGATTTGTTTAAAAATGCCAATGTTAAATTTGAGACAAATGCAGTTAAAATCATGGCTTCTGATTTAAAAACTGATGAAGTCGCGTCATCACCGACGACAACAACAACAACAACGTCAACGGTACTTCGAAGAAAACGGTTTTTCTTGTCGTCTATTGTGGATGCTATTGAAGATGTTGTAACTGTAGCTGTAGCCGTTGTACAAACAGTTGTTCGTACAGTAGCACAAGCGGCATTAGACGCACTTGGTCTATCTAACATAGACATTAACCAACAAGAAACGTTTGGAAGTAAGTTAAAATCAGCACGGATTTGTTCAATTATCTAAGTCGTTGTTTATATCAATACACTGTTGGTGTTGCTGTGTACTATTTCTTGTTTAATTGTAAGGTCCCGGAAATTCGAACTTTCAGTAAAACATTTCTTTTCTTTTTCTGTACATGGTTGGATAGAGCGCATCGAGTTGGTAAAGAAAATATATTTTTTAATTTAAAAAAGAAGAGAGAAAAATTCAAAAAACTCGAAGCATCTAAAACTTCGAAAATGGTTCATTTTTAAAAAGAATTCAATTTCTCTGCTTCATTCTTGTTTGAATCTTCGAAACTATTTTTTTCCGATTTAGCATCAAAAACTGAATCTAGGAAACCAAGTTTCAGATTTTTGGGACAAAAACTGATTTCAGTGACCGTTAATCAGGAATAGAGGTCCGAAGTGCACCAGTCCATTTTGTAAACCTATCTAGTTTTTCACTTAAAACATGAAATCATCATTCTCATGTCAACAGAACCGCCACAAGATAACC